TAAGTCTTGATCCTTCTAGAAACTCCAGCGCGCATGCTCCCAGCGTCGCGTGACTTCCGCTGTCGTAACAATATATTTGATTTTCTTTCTGGGACTATGATTTACTCTAAAGATTGTCATACGTTTTTATTTTATTTTATTTGCGTTGTTTTCTCATGCATATTTTAAAACTTGTTGAGCCCAGATTAACATATATTTAAGACTGTTCTTAACTTTGCAGATTAACATATATATTTAAGGCTGTTCTTTTGTTTGTTTGGAATTAAGCAGAAAGCTACACAAAGGGCTATCTGTGCTCTACCCACCACGGGTATCGAAACCCAATTACTAGTTTCGGAAGTCCGCAGACATACTCCTTTATGCACAGGAGTCAAATTAAGGACTTGCGATGCCCTGGTCAAGTCTTGAAGGGGGTCTCTCAAAAGTGAATTCCTCATTCCAGTAATCAGCTATTGATATGGATTTAATTAAAGAGCTAATCAAAGTTTCACGGTTTGATGTTTTAGCCTCCACATAGTACTTGCACATAAATAATTTACACAGATTTATTTATCTTATGAAAAACTTTTAATGCATTTTTTTAATTTTACACAAATAACCAGCCTAAAAAATCCTATAAAAAAGAACACCACGAATTATAGCATGCTTTTATATTAAGCAACCTTCATTTCATGTACGAAACCACGGTCGTAATCAATTAATATATTTGTGAAATGTACAATTGTCTTTGTTTTCCTCAATTCTATGACTATGGAGTTTCATCAAGTAAGGACGGTTTCAATTATTAATTATTCAAACTCTTCTTTTGTCATTTATTTGACCAAAATGCCTATCTATCCATGTCATCGGTACAGATGGCATTGCAATTTTATGATACTTCTGCTTCTGAGTTAGCAGCCATTTTAAGTCAATTCAAGCAACTGTACTACGGCCTTGTATTTAGCGCCATCTGTTGCGAGTTCTAGTAACGATGAGTCAGTACACTCGGACAATGTGTTTTCGATAGAACAGTACAAATACTAATGCAGGTTTCCTCTGCTCCAATAACATAAATAATAAAATGATACAATGAAACACCTTAACATAAAAATAACATCTAATATCGAAATAAACTCTTTCACATAGAAATGACATCTAATATCGAAATGAATTATTTAACAAAGATTCACTTTGTGCAAAGGAGTAACTTTCAAATATACTATCACAAAATTAAAACTACAAAACATAGTTACAAAATCCCACTAAAACAATACCCTTTAACACAGTTAATATAACACGTACTAATACAATAGTTTAAAACTTAAGCAATAAACTTAATTACAATATATGCTAATCAGACCCTTTCTTTAAATATGAATTAAATGCAAAATAAACCCATTTAAATATAGAAATACTTGTTGAAAATAACATTATATACATATTTACACAAATTGTGACTACAATTCAAAAACGAAAACCTTTTTTACTGAAAGGAAAAAAATAACAACAATAAAATAAAACAAAAAACAATTAAAGAAATATCATGTGTACAAACCTTAATTTATTAAATTAAAAAAAAACACTAAATGCAGACCTAACTCAACAGTAGCAATGAAGTCCGACTCCACTCATCCTCATTTTAACCACAACAACAGATCTTCTAAAGTGGCTGTGGGTTGCCTATTGCTTGCCATAATGTCTCATATGCTTTCTTTGGTCTGGAACAAAACCCGCCTACTCTGAACCACCTCCATGCACAATTGGTGGACTTATTCCTCTAAATGGAAAGGTGGCATTGGGCATCATCTAGATCAGGGGTCACCAAACTACGGCCGCGAGGTCAGTTCATCCGGCCCGCCGCTGCACTGT